AACGGTGGCTCAGTGAGTAAGGTGTTGGCTCGATAAGGAGGTCCTGTCGAGCAAAATTTTCCTCATAGCACACTGTATAGCGCATGCCCAATTTGAGCAGTACAGTAGGACGTTAAACCATATTTCATTTCATTTCATTTTTCTGTTTGGCTAGAAATTAATTCAGCGACGATCATGATGCCAAATTGACGTGGTACAAAAGACCCCCACCCCACCTCCATTACAATTATGCTCACCATCAGCAAAATTATTTTAAAACAAACAATACAAAGGTTTACTACAAAATATTGAAACAGTTGATAAGAGATAGTTCTGTTATTTTTGCAGGAAATGCGACGCGGATAGAAGTGGATCTTGTTATGAATTCTGTTGGACCTGTAAATGACATGGATATGGTAAGTAAACAATTACGGGTGAAAAGTTAGGGTTACAATTCTCTGTCGTATAAAGTATAAACTAAAAAGTTTCTAATAACATCAAAGTGGAAGTTGATATTGAAATGTTACAGTATGTAATTAATATCCCTTTAGATATCAACTATGATCTTAAACAGCCGATAAATTTTAATATTCATACCATTCAAATTTGATTAAACTGGTTTCTAGTGAACCCAATTTGCATAAAATCATAAGATCACTGTCCATTGCCGGGTCCTTCGTACCGGAGGAACTTTTTCAGCCCAACACCCTTGAATTGTCTGTAGTATATCTGCAGTTTGTAGTCAATGTCCAAATAGGTAAACGTATTTGTGTAGCGCTTATCTCTTGACAATTACTCCCGAAATGACTAATGTGTTTAATTGACGTTAAACCCCGCCCCGCCTGGACCCCATATGTTCGATTATGTCGATTGGGATAGCCAACACTTGAATTCTCTTTTTCTGCATCCAAATTTCTCCTACCAGATAAAAGTAAACTTGGGGCTAACAACGGGTCGCCTCTTTTCTGCAATGGAGTCGTCATTGAGATCTGAAAGGGACTGAAATTTGTACGAAATTTTCATAGTAATCTCTTATCTGTTCTCTTCGGTTCTTAAATTTGCGACATCAAATCTTCAGTGTTCCTGCAAACTGTTGTTGTTTTTGCATGCAATTTAGACACCTTGGCTCAGCTCTACCTAGTGTATCTGCTCCGTCGATAAGTTGTTTTATAGTTCTATGTTGACCCGTTTTGAGAATCTGTGTCACCTCGTGGATCGTATTCTAGGGGACGAGTGTTCGACCAATCACTAGTTCCAATCGTAATTAAGACAATAGCTCCGCGTTTGTATAGCTATAATGGGATATGGTCCAGTACTGTTGTGCCCAACTTTGGCATTCATGACCCATATGAATACCTTAACGAACACTCTTATAAATTTTAATTTCTCGTGTTAATCTGCAAGGTTGGTTGTTGCGTAAAATTGCAAATTGTAACTGCCTAAAAGCCAGCTGTCATGACCTCTCGCTAACTGCTTCTCGTTCTATCTTAAACCCAATCTAATTTAATATGTTTAATTACAGGAGATCAGTGCTAGTTTTTATTTACGACAACAATGGAAAGATCAAAGACTGGCTCAGAATATTTTTAATCATACCATATCGGTTGGTTACAAGCATCTCGATGACTTGTGGATTCCAGATCTCTTTTTCCCTGGTGCCAAATCAGAGAAACGTCACTTGATGACAACACCTAATATCTTAATACGACTTCATCCAGATGGCTCTATATTGTACAGTCAAAGGTATTGTGTTAATTATATTATTACTATATATTAGGTTTGTTCCATTCAACTTAATATACTTTGAAATCCAGCCCCCACTATTTATATGAGAGAGAGAGAGAGAGAGAGAACTGTGGCGATACCGTGGGATTTTTTGGATATTTTTTTTTATTTAGACAGTTTACCGCCTCCTCCGTAATCAGAGCTACCATAATGTATGTTATCTTCGGTAAAATAATAAGAATCATCATTAGGACATAATATACCGGTTATATATTCTCCCGTCAAAAGGCAATACCTAGTAACTCACGTTTTTCTTATTTTGAGAAAACAAAGGAAAACTTAATAAATGAATATTAAACCCCAGCTTATCATCCATTGATTTGATTGTTGATCAGTTACTAGGTTTTTCTGTGGCATACTAGGCAAATGAAGGAAGTTGCTAGGTTGTGTCATTGGTGTAACTGCTTACAAAATCAAAAGATAGGAATATCTAGTACAACAACAGGAAGCACATACCCTAGTAACTACAAATTTGATCCTAACTCAATTTTGATAATAAAAAAAAAAAAGTGAGTTACTAGGTTTTGACTTTTTACGGGAGTATTACATATATGTAAGACAGAAGTGTTTAAATCAAACTCTGAACCTAGGCCAGTTACCTCACAATATTAGTTCTAGTTAGCACGCTTAACCTCTGTGGTTGAACACCAATCCATCGATATCTTGTGAACATTATTCGGTGAAAAACATTTTAAGATATGTATAGTACGACAATAGTACACCAGAGTAATGGACGTCTGTCATACTGTCTTGACATTTATATGATGAAAAAAGTTTCTGTGCTCTTATACAGAATAGAGAGTATAGGGCTCTGGGGAATAGTAATAATTGAAAATAGATAGTACACTAGATATAAAACAAGTCATTATACTACCATAACCTTCAATAGGATACATTTCTTCCATATTACCCTGAACAAAATTCAATATACAAAATGTAAATAACATATTATGAATATAGCTCGGAAGAATGTCATTTAAATCAAAAATTTAGGAACGCAATAAAATCTATATAAATACACATAAAAGAATAAAAGACTGGCGTTGGTAGACTTTTTCCAATAAAAAAATTGTTGCAGAACACAGACAGGTGCGTCTCCCTAAGGTACTATGATTATTAAAGATGCATTATGTAAGAGTTAGATAAATAGCTGACATTTCTCTCTATAATAGTTTAAAAATAGATAACGATAAACGAATACATATACGTTGACAATTTCAGTCAAATTACCTCATTCTGAGTGAAGTTATGGCTAATAACTTGACAGCGTTGGATAATGTGACCGTGAGGTCCGTCAGATATTACAAGAGTCTGGAATGGTTCTTCAAATCTTTAATACTGGAAACTTATAATAATAATTATCTACATACACTTACAGGACCGCGGATAGACCTAATTGACTGAAGTATCAAGTACAATCACATATTTATATTGAATTACTTCTAATCACTTGGCTAGATCAAGTATTGACATAAATAAGCATTGATGTAATAATGTACAATATAAGAAATAAAACAATGGTAAATAAAACAATTAATAAATTAATCATACGATTGGCATGTTCACGAGACAGGCCATATGGTCAGTTACTTTCTATCTATAACAGTTTTATAAACAATAAGGGATTATAATAAATTACCACGTCATTAGAATTACGTAACATTTCACCCTTGGCTATAGTCACCTTTCAATAGCAAACACACACAATGTTTTGAAGGAATAGAATAATTACTGTCCTTATTAGAGTTTACATGTATACAGAATTCCGTTTGATGACTTTCCTTTTATTGAAATTAAAGTATTGTCTGAAATATTCTAGATTTAAATAGAACTATAACCAGCACGGTTATAATAATAAACAAAGTCTCCATTATCCATTTTTAGGCAATAGGCAGATTTAGACCTCGGATATTGGAGGATATCACTACCAATTTAATTGAAATATACAGGATACAAAATATAGCTATATGATAAACACCTGCAAAAGTCAGGTACAAAGACAGCAAATAATTAGATGGTGCTATGCTAATTGATATACACAATCATGAAAAGGAAATGTCCATATACCATTGGTAATCATTTTCTATCATCAATTTCATTCAAATTATCTATATAATGAATAATAAATGATAAATGTAGATACATAACAGAACTAAAATGTCATCTATTGAACTGTTATGATGTATAAATATGATAATTATTACAAATCTCACCAACAACGCAAATCCCAATTTTAAGGTCATCGCCATTTGGTGATAAAATAGTTTTTCGATTTCAGATCATTTGACTATACAATATATAGCTCCATTAGGGATATTGAATTAGACTAGCTATAAGACGCAGAATTTGAGACAAATCCTCCAATACATTGATGAAATATATTTTAACATTCAATTTACGCAAATTGCTTAGCGGTTTTCAAGGAGTATAGGAACACTGGCCAGAACACGGAATTGATATAAATAGATTAGTGTAATGGTAATTACTTTTATGTTTTTGGGAGGGAGAGATAACGCACCTTTAAGAGATTGCTAGAAACATATTCAATTCGAGTATGTGAATTTTTGTTGGCCTTACACTTCATCCATGAACCTGATCTCCCTCTATTTAAAGAAATATCATAACCCAGTCGGAAATAGCAATCACATAGCACTAAACTAAAATTCAAGAAATTGAAATGAAATATCTCCGACAAGAATGTCAAATGTGGGAGTTGCTATGGAAGTTGAAGTGGGTCCTCGATTAGTGGGAATTATAAAAGAATATCAACACGGTAATATGTCTCCTCAAAATATACACAGTAACGTGTGCCATGTGAACAGAAGGGGTGAATTTGCATGGACAGCGGGATTTCTCCTATACGTCTTCGAATTCCAAATGCGTTTCTTTACTACATTAACGGGTCAACTTTTTGGTATCACCGGAACAACAGTGTATACTTTACTTTAAACCCACCGTCCGTTCAAACGGGACCTCGTAGACTGCCCAGTTCTCGGTATCCCGGTTGGCACAGACAAACTAGGACGTTAAACACCAAATCATTTCTTAAATATTCTCCATGACGAAATGAATGCTTATTTGATTGTACTGCTTTATTTTAAAGGTTGTCTCTAACGTTACAATGTTTTTTTTTAAAGGTTATTTGTATTATTTTATTTTAAAGGTTGTCTGTAACATTACAATGCTTTATGGAATTACATAAATTTCCTTTGGATTATCAGAAATGTGAAATACAGATGGAAAGTTGTAAGTATAACATAATTCAAAAGAGTAATCGCAGTTGTAAAGCAACTGAAATGAAATGAAATTGGGCTTAACGGCCTACTTTTCTGAACCGACTGGGCGAATAAAGAAATGGGGAGGGTAACGTGTTTGATGATGAACGCATGCATGAAAAAGTCACATTTAGATTACCCCAACAGTCAATAATAGAACGCCGCAATATTTTAATGTACCAATGTAAGCCAACATGTATAAACCCACGTCTCGGATTTTTTCTTAAGCCACATCTGGAGAATTGTATTATTTCGTCAATCGACATGTGTGTGTGTTGTCAGAATGCTATCCTTGCGTGGTTTATATGTTCGTTATATTTGTCTATCTAATGTTAAATTATTGCACCTCTTTCATACGAAGGAAGCGGGATTCCTGTTTGAAAACGGAATGTTCTATTATCTTTTCAGATAGTTATATTACGGAACAAGTGTATTTTATTTGGTCGTTAACACGAGGTTCTTTGAATCTATTAGATAATGCTTTTATACCTGATTTTACTATAACTGGAGTATCATCAACTGATTGTACAGCTGTCTATGCTACAGGTATAAACAACATCTCTTATATCCTACATCTTCATTCTCATTATCATCTTCGTCACCATCATCATTTTCAGACGCCTATGCAGCAGAACAAGTATACTTCATTTGGTCCTTAAGCCGAACCAAGCTGAATGTAGAAGATGGATCTTTTTCACCAGAGTTTAGCTTGTCGGGAATTACTTGTTCTGATTGTACAACTAGATATGCTATAGGTAATCATTATCACCATCATTACAATGACTTAAGAATTTATTCTTCTGATGGTACAGTAAAATATGCTACAATTAATTTATCATCATCACCATCAGGAGTGGATCTATTGTGAAACTAATCCTGGAGACTTTATTCCACATTGCTTTACAAATTTAAGTCTGCTGTAGTGGCGGTACTTTTACTGCATAGAGAAATTTAGGGGTGACTAGCTACTGTACTTTCTGTAGTGGCTGGGGTCTTTTCTATGTTTAATTATTTATGATGCAGCATGTCTATACAACATTTCTTAAATTTCAACAGCCATATCTCGATAGCTATAAGGCACGCAAAATCTTTTTTTGTCACACCAGTGGCTTTGAAATGTCTAATACTCAACTTTAATCAAAATCTGAGATGCCATGGTTAACTTTTGAACGATCTGTTGTGATCTGCCCTGGACTCACCTTCAGTGGATACCAAGTCATCTTTGCTGAATCCGAAGGGACCCAAAATATAGGTCATCCACTGATTACCATCAGCGCAACCCCCACCCACCCCAAAATATGGACTGCGTTCCGACGCTCCTGCAGTAGGATGCCAACGTCAGTATTTGAATGTCAGTTAGATTATTAGAAAAAAAACAGTTCTGGTAGCAAATTCTAAAATTAACTTCCGTTTTCAATCAAGATTATAAATCAATAATCATTGACTTCAATTATATTAGGATAACACGCTTTCATTGTATTTTTACGGTCATCAAAAATGTCCGAAGGTTAAGCATTGCGTGACAATCTACATCAATAAAATAATTCAACTAGTAAAAAACCTGGGCATAACATGGCGTGAGATTTACACGAGCCTTTCTATGGTTCAAACATCTTGATTCGTATTTTATGGTAGATTGCAATGTAACACGATATTACCACAGGCACTTCAACTAACCTCTTTAGCCTATTGATTCCGTACCTATATGTACTATCAAATATTTATACTATTTTTTCTTGTAGTAATTACAAACACTTACCTGGAATTCCCTTTTACCATTCCTTCACGCTAACTTGTTTTCCTTTACTGTACTTGAATAACTTGTAATAATCCCAACCATACCTTGTATAACCCTAGGATAAATAAACCTTTTAAGTAAAATAATAACGACATTATTTGGTAAAAGTATAATAACTTTGTATAATCAATACCTTCTATTCATAGAAATACTAGTAATATATACCTATCAGTTGTACCATTTGAAATAATAAAGCAAAAACAAGAAATCTTTTATTAAAAAGGTCAGTGGTACTTGATAGATAGACAACGAATCATATCAGAGGCGTGGGTTAGCGGGGCCTCATAAATCCAAAAACAAAACAAAAACCGGAAGTGTTTAGTAACGCTCGAAAACGACGAGATTTCCAATCAGGGTATAGGCTATGTGCCCCCCCCCCACCCTTTTGAAAAGTGCCCTCCCTTCTGAAAATGTGCCCTCGTATTTCGAAAAGCTTATCCTCAAATGCTAATGGAAATGCCCTAGCCAATGACATATTTTCCTATTGCCCTGGTGACCGCATTTCCTGCTGACTCCTCGCCTCTGGTTGGCTTTCATCTTGAGAGGGACAGGAAACCTGTCAACGCTGTTGGTGATCGACTGGCTGTGACTAGTATTTCTCTGATTTCGGTATCGGCGCTATTGCGTGTCGCAAGTGCAGCTCAGTGGTTCTGTTGGGGGATAAGTTCTTCATCTGTGAACATACTCTCAAAGCATGTCAAGTGTCCATGACTATTTATCATATCACAACCTGCATAGGTATTTGCATTTCAATACCCGCTACTTTTTTGAAGAGTATATTTCGCTGTTTATCACGTTTTAGTAATGAAAGCCATTTTATTTGCAAATTGATTTAAAACAAAAAACAAAACAAAACTCAATGGCTCGCTTCTTGCCACTGTGGGTATATTGTGATGGTCTGCGTGTTGAATCACATTACCCAGAATTTTGCGATCCGAATCCAGAAAGAGCTATGTTAATTTAAGGTTTGATTCATTTCGAAAAATAAAATTTTACTATACCGCAACGCTTTAACTCAAATCTTGAAGTTATACACATGGTAGGCTCTAACCTAAGATTTTATGTCATTTCCGTTTTTCAGGATCATTTACCTGTCTGAAGGCTGAAGTGGCATTAAAAAGAGAAATAGGATTTTATATAACTCAGACATACATACCCAGTATATTGATAGTTATCTTATCATGGGCTTCATTTTGGATTGATCACGAGGCAGTTCCCGCCAGAATATCAGTTGGTTTGTTGACAGTTCTTACCATAACAACACAAAGTTCAGGTGCACGTTCTCAGTTACCAAGGGTACCATATATAAAGAGTATTGACGTATGGATGGCCGTCTGCCTAGTTTTTGTTTTTGGCGCCTATATGGAATATGCTGTGGTTACAGTTTTAAGCAGAAAACACAGAAAATCTAATGAGAGGGTAAGAAAATCTCGATTCTTTTTAAATCTAAATGTAAAGAATACAACAAATATGTTGTTGTTGTCGTTGTTGCTGTTTTGTTGTGCCCTGGTTAGTGTTAGCCCACCTATATCCTCTATCTATATTCCCCACCTCGACAACCCAACCTGCGATATCACTCGCGGTGAAAAAGGGCGCTAAGTCCCACGAACGGCGGTGGCACCTCACATATCCACCAGCCATCTTAACGGGATACCCTTCACCACCCTCATCCCACGACCACAGAAGCGTTCATTTACTTCTCTTTGCACATGTAACCGTGTAATAAATCCTTCGACATATTCATAAAATAGTGTGGCGTATATGCCACAACGACTGATTGTTCAGTTAGGGGAGCTTACCTGTTCCTGAAGCAACGACCGCGATTTTACAACATCTAGCCGTTGCAACATTATTCTGAAATTCTCGAACTTATAGGTACGTTATCTCCCTTTACCGCAGGCACGTGAACAATAGCGTTGTCCAATCAGATGTCGTTACACAAACACACTCAAATCAAACATGGCGACCTCCCCGGAAACCTTGACATTGAACGAACCTTGAACTCTGCACATAGATTATCACAGGTAAACGAGATCAGGGCACGAGTTCACAAAGTATTCTCAGACTTAATTTAAGAATTTACTCATTTTTCAATCACTGTTTATGAGAAATATCTTTGATCCAGAAACACAAAACTTTGCACATAATTCCTTATTGGTGTATTTGGTACAATAAAACAAAAATAGTTTTATAAAGGGCTATAGTTTAGTTAAAATAAGACACAAAATTTAGAGTAAAATCTTAACTTAAGTCTGAGAATGCTTTGTGAACTCGGTGGCAGGTCTTCTATTGAAGATGGGGAGCCCAATAAACCGTTTGAGACAGGGCTGTTGTCTAGGATTATGGACTGTGACTAATGTTGGGATTGACTTCATGTTGTATTTAAATATGGAGCTTCGATCTTTCTCAATTAGGAATAAACAATTCATATACTAGACACAACATAATGATTTACATGGTGTCTTGTTTGATAATATACAGGTATAAGGGTTCAATAAGTGATCTGAAACTATATCGTAATAATAAACTATACATGATGAATAAGTATATTTCACCATGCACCCTTGATTTAAAGATGTCTTGGCTAACCCTTAGCACTAACCCTGGGTTGGGAGGGGGTGCAGTTTGAGGAAAGTGGGCAGTGTATGCGGTGAGGGCTGGGCGGCTATTGAGATCAACACTAGAAAATATTCATCAATGTTACCATTCACCGATATAGCAAAGGATAAACCGATTCCAAATATAATTTTTGATCCGAGTGTGACACAGTTATAGGAGATCGGTTATTGTTACTGACAGTAGTATAGAGTGGCTAGATATAAACAAATGATTTCAGTTCTATTAGCCCCTGAAGACAAAGCGTTTACACGAGATCAGACAAAACCAAAAAACGTTGGAAATGTGTGACTATGTTGCCATAGGAACGATACTTTACACCTGTATATATTATATGAATCCAAGAAAAATATTAGCTGTACCTTTGTCTCCGCCACACGGATTACAAATCGCATTACTCTATATTCATTATCCACTTAATTCTTATTTTATAAAATTGTATTGGAATGAGGATTCTCATTTTCTTTTTCTTTCACTCATTGATTTGTTTATTTATTTTTAATCAGTAAATGTCCTTTTTTAGAGTAAATCTGAATCAAGTTTAAATGGTGTGGTATTAAAAGAAAATGGACAACCTGGGAATTCTGGAGTGAATACGGAACCTGGTGTGAATCCAGGTAGAAACGTCGATAAAAGATCAAGATTCGTCTTCCCTATGTCATTCTTAATATTCAACCTGGCGTACTGGATTTTTTATATTCACGGACCAAAGTAAAATACACCAGAGCACATGTCGTCCTCCGTGCCACTCGCGGATTACAATTATTCGCGAAGTAAATACTAACGAAAGAAACGTAAAATATTCATTTAAAAAAATTAAAACAAATAAATGGAAACAACTCCAAAATGTGTATAAATAGAGAATCTCCTATGAGTCTTTTTTGATATAAAAAAGACGAGTATGAGATTTTATTTATCACCCAATCCTTTCTTACATGCACAATTAAATAAAAATAATTCTTTGCTATAGACTTCACTTTTACTGAACCTGATTACATTACGGCGTACTGATACATCATTTTTTTGACGGCAATTCAACCATTGCAAAGTCCTTTATATTGAACCAGTGTTTCCATCAAGGTCAATTAAATAAAAATAATTCATTTTAATAAAAAAAAAAAAAAGAAGATACTTTTAATACAAAATGAACTGCTCTTTGAAAATACAAAAACGTAGCTCGTTTTAACTGACTAATCAAATTCACATGGAGATATCGCAATAGATTATGAAATTTATCACACAATTTATATCTACTGTAGAATATATTATTGGGTGATAATAATGTTTATATCCTTATGCTTACTTATTAATAATGAAGTTGTTTAAAGGGCAAACACGCCCATGTATCAGGGACCGATTCGTCTTCTGCGTTTTCTGTAAATCACAAGATCCGTCATCATTGCAAAGTCACTAGTTCGATCTCAAATTTTCTCTCATTAATTATCAACGTTACCAAACAAAAATCCAGCGTTTATTTAAATTTAATAATGGAACCATATTTTCAGTTTTGCATGTATGTGATTACGTAAAAACTTTTAATGACATTTAGTAACTGAATAGAGTAAAAACAAAAACACATACTTGAAAAACAAGCGATTTTTCCGAAGAGTATTCTTGCAACGTATATACTTAGCTTGATAATTCTATTCGGATTATATTCCATTGGTCGAAAGAATTGCAACCTGTTAAAACATTATAATACAACGATAAAATAGATCCATGTACATAGAGTTGTATTCTATTATTTGTATAGATTGATATTCAATCTCAACATAGTATTATTGGTAATCGTATAGCGTGCGAAACTTTGAACCCTGTATTCAAGAAGGCTGATTTTTGCTAATGACTAATCGTTTAGCAATATAGTTTCATTATACCTGTTATGTAAAGATGTCGACCACTGAAAACAAACTAGGTTATAATTATTAATCTTAAGAGCACCAAATTTTAAAACACATGAACAAATCAACTTGACATTTTTATTTTAGTACGTACGAAACCAATGATGTCATGCCCCTTTTGTGTGTTATTTTGTATATTTTTGTACCAGTATTCAATTAATCACTGTAAATATAAAAATAAAGTATTTACAAAATTCCATAGTCTTTCTTATTCATGTAGCTATTATCATAGCGAATGGAATTGGGATTGACATCTCGTCAACTTCATCCACGTGTATGTACATATTTCGAAATGAGAAATATGACTCGGTAGGTGGGTTTCTTCCTATCTTCCTATTCGTTTTCAAAATCCATCTACGAGTAAGTATTTTACAATTACTGAGAATCTGTACAAGGTTTTATTTCCCCCCCCCCCCCCCAAAACAAAAAAAACAAAAAACGTCTACACACATTCATTGTTGGTCCCAGTCAAATCAGAACAAAGATTGATCCCTAGCACAAGCGGTTGTCATGCAAGATGCGCCCACATTTTGCAAGAGATGGACAGAGAACACGCTAAAAAAAACAATATTTCAGACAATCAGGGGCCATAATCCAGGATGTTACGGTCGGTCCTATGCGTCAATATCGAAAGGAAACAAGATCTTTGGGATATAAACATGGTTTAAGTTTCATCAAAATCAGATAAAAAATGTGACCTTTACAGAGTGGACAGAGAACACGCTAAATAAAGGGCGATTTTACGTACAATCAGGGGATATAATCCAAGAAGTTACGATCCGATACAGGCAAGGTTCGAAAGGAACCCTGATCTTTGGGATATAAACATACATTTGTTTTTAAATTTATTGAAATCGGATATAAATTGTGACCTCTAGAGTGTCCACACAACCTATTAAATTATGTAGGGGGAGCGGCCTTTTTGTCAGGCAGTTTCTGTCAGATCTTCATGAAATTCGAACTCAACCGTCATTATGGTGTAAGGATGATAAATTTAAACATTTGGTTTTTTTTAAATCGGATAAAAATTATGACCTCAACCTTGGCATCAAAATCAGATAAAAAATGTGACCTTTACAGAGTGGACAGAGAACACGCTAAATAAAGGGCGATTTTACGTACAATCAGGGGATATAATCCAAGAAGTTACGATCCGATACAGGCAAGGTTCGAAAGGAACCCTGATCTTTGGGATATAAACATACATTTGTTTTTAAATTTATTGAAATCGGATATAAATTGTGACCTCTAGAGTGTCCACAACCTATTAAATTATGCAGGGGGAGCGGCCTTTTTGTCAGGCAGTTTCTGTCAGATCTTCATGAAATTCGAACTCAACCGTCATTATGGTGTAAGGATGATAAATTTAAACATTTGTTTTTTTTTTAAATCGGATAAAAATTATGACCTCAACCTTGGCATTACATATTTTTTTACTTTTTATATGCGTACAGGAGCGACCAGGATGTTACGGTCCGACATGCGTGAATATCGAAAGGAACCGACATCTAAGGGATATACACATACATTTTAAGTTTCATCAAAATTAGATAAAACTTGTGATCTCTAAAGGGTCCAAAACCTTGGTATTACATACCTTTACATTATTTGCATACGGGGAGCGGCTATTTTGTCGGGCAGTTTCGGGTCGATATTCACGCAATTAGAACTCATTGGTCATTATGATGTAACGGTGATATATTTGAACAGATTTTTAAATCCGATCAAAATTGTGACGTCTAGATTTTTATACAATCTGGGGCCAAAAAATTCAGGAAGTTGCGGTCCGATGTTCGCGAACATCGAGAGGGACCAAGATGTTTGGGTTATATATACATTTCAAGTTGTGATTAAAGTTTGGTTTTTTTTATAAGCAATATTTTATTCAGATTTGTATCTGAATAGGGATTGGGGAACAGGCATAGCCTATATCAAACCCCTCTCCCTGAAAGTTGTGAGCGGTAGAGTTTCCACAAGCCAAAAACTGGGTTATTGTACAATCAGGGGCCATAATCCATTAAGTTACAGTCAGATACATGCCAATATGCCAATTTATTGCAAAGATTGAGATTTTTGGGAGATAAACCTATATTTTAAGTTTCTCACATTCGGATAAAAGTTGTGACCTCTAAAGTGTCCATTAACATATTGTGAACATACCAGCGGATTGGGGCGACCACAAAATATGTCCACATAAAAATGTGGGGTATAAAATTAACATTATGCTGAAGTCCTAAAATATATGACCTATGGTTCTGGTAAAAAGGCATATTTTATTAACTATTTACACAGAAAGGTGACAAATAGAAAAAGTACAAATAAACATTTAAAAACATCAGACAAATTTAATCCAATCAGTAACTTATGGTATTTAAGTAGGCTATTAATTACAGGTACCAACAATAAATGTAATAAAAATACTAAAAAATATTTATGTACTTTGCATAAATATTTCAATCTTCGGATAATTAGGTACCATAATATTGAACATTTAAGAAATTAAAAGGATGCAAATTCCAAGACATGCACAATTTTAGAGTTGTTCGATGGATAGGCACATAAAACAATACTTAAATATCCTAAAATATACCATAAATAAAATTGTTAAACTTTCAAGATGTTATAACTACATGTATGGTAACAAATATCTTAAAAAAATGTAACAAAATTAAGTATGGTATTTCAAAGATAAAAACACTCCACATCAACACCTATAAATTAGCATTGTTATCTTATGATGTTAAATTATTTGTGTATCACATAATTTCTGAAACACTCTTGCATCAAAACAAAAACGGAAATAAGCCATTTATACATATATAAAGATATAAAAATCAATATTTTTAAAAATATATATTACAAATCACAGTAAAAACCCTGATTATCACATAACATTATCCCACATAACATCTTAACGCTAAATTTACATAAAATTTATGTAAAAATGGTCAGTCAGTTTACCATCATTTTGCTCATCTTTTTAACCACAAGTCTTTTTTATATTATATTTACCTCATTTTCTGACGTAACTCTAACGTAAAGTTAACCTCATTTTCTGACATAGTATAGCAATTTATGGTACATGTATCATAATATGATAGCTTGGTTCAATATGTACTGCTCTCTAATTTATGAAAAAACGATTGGGTCAGAAACACGATTTCAGTGACCCCAAAAATAGTCCTTCTAGTTAGAAAATTTAGATATCTCCATTTAAATGCAATCCATGTAAGGAGAATCATCTATTTTTACAAGACTATGAAAATAATTGTTTAGTGATACAGTCAGTATCAATGGTTTGCATAAAGTCTAATTTTCAAGTGGTCTAAATAAACAAATAATAAGAAATCAAGAGATCGCAAAATAATATGGATATGTTAAACAAATAATAAGACATCAAGAGATCGCAAAATAATATGGATATGTTAACTTAAAACATCAAATCTTTTTACATATAAACAAATCAGACTTTTGGCCAGAGACATCACATAATAATTAACTGAAGTTTATAGGAGATGAAGATTTACAATTTTTACCTATAAATTATAATCTAAAAAAATGAACAAAATATTAACATTTCTGGCATCTAACCCCAGTTTCATCGTGGACTGATACATATACTGTATTTGTTTCTGATTGTAAATACCAAACTTAAAATCTAAAATTATTGAATACCTTTATAACCACACAACACACTACACTGTGTATTTCATATTATTTAATTTCAGTCATGCAACGATTATGATGGTCTCAACCAGTAACAAATTAAGTATTCGTCTCTCATTTAATTACCCAGATTAGTGAATTTAAACACCTTGGCATATTTCGATGGCTGAGTATTAACAGTTAGGGACGGTAGAATGATTTCAATACCATGTGTGGTTCCAGCTCTCCATTCTATACTGCCTGTATATCCTAATAGAGAAACAACTGTATATTCTGACACGCTGGGTGCTCCAAGTTGTAAGGTTTCACCTGATGGCCAATTCAGTACTGTGGCGTAGACATACTGCTGTCCCTTTGCACTTGTGTACCTAAAATGGAATATTAGACAGATTAATAAACAGTTTCCATCTCACCGCACATGGTCATGGCAAACTAAACAATAACAAAGTAGACATCCAAAACCTGATGCCAAAAATAGTTTAAGTTTCACACAATATATTTTTTTACCGTTCAACAAGGTAGGCAACCATTCTCAATTTGAACCAGGGTGGCATTTAAAAGGAGGAGACTTGTTAGACAGGAACCCATACCAAATTTAATTCAATAACAAATTTCAAAATATTGCTTCAAGGGGAGGACATTTTTCACTTTGGAATCAAGCAAAACATTTACATTTGTTTTCAAAACACAAGTGATGCTTATTTTACAAGTATTACAGTTAATAGAAACGCTGACAGAAGAGCGATATTATTACAGTTCATAGGAAAGCTAAATGGTAACTGATATTATTACAGTTCATAGAAAGACTGTCATGTGGGCAATATTATTACAGTTCATAGAAAAAAATGACAGGAGGGTGATATTACTACAGTTTATAGAAAAGCTAACAGGAGGGCGATATTATGAATTCATAGAAAAATTTGTTGTGTTGTTCTTACTGTTTAACGTTCACTTCCACCGAATGTGATATCGCAGACAATTCTTATTTTTCATTTTTTATTACCTTAGAGTATGTGAAGGGGTCTTGCTTGTGGAAGGAAACCAGAGTACCCGGAGTAAACTCACAAGGTTGAGAAGACACCCCTATCTCCAAGTCACATATGCTCACACCAGGGATCGAAACAACAACTGCAAGCCAGAGGTGACCGGCCAGCTAGAGGTTGAAGCGCAACACCCTAGACCACAAGGCCATCCCAATCCCCCCATAGAAAAGCTAGAGGTGACCGGCCAGCTAGAGGTTGAAGCGCAACACCCTAGACCACAAGGCCATCCCAATCCCCCCATAGAAAAGCTAATAGGTGGGTGTTTATCACAGTTCAGTGAAAAACTGACAGGTGGGTGATATTCATAGATGGGAGATATTACAGTTCATAGAAAAGCTGTCAGGAGGGTGATATTAATTTAGTTCATAGAAAAACTGACAGGTTGGTGATATTATTATATTTCTTGGAAAAGCTTACAGTCGGTGATATTGTTACAGTTCTTGGAAAAACTGACAAGTGAGTGTGTTCTTACAGTTCATAGGAGAACTGACAGGTAAGCAATTATCATTAATCCAGGTATGGGATATTGAATATGGTGTATTAATTACTGACCAGACACCAGGTGTAATGGTATCATTTTGATATGTCCATGGTTTAGTGCTATAAATAGCTTCTCCATTTACTTTTAACCAATCACCCATCTGTAACAAACGTTCTTGAAATATTGGTGCAATAGTTCCTTCCTTAGTTGGTCCGATATTCATCAACAGATTTCCACCACAGCTAACAAAATATAACAACAGATTGGAAAATATATTGAAACAGATAAAAATATGTGTTTGGAAAATATATTCAAAGTGTATGGAAAGATATCATAAGCCATGCACAAATCAATTATTAACGCAGTTGGCATTGTGAATGACGCACCACTCTAATTGTAAGACAAGGAGTGAGAGAAAAATGGGGTTAAACGTACACTGGACACAAACTAGGTCATTTGCAGACAAATAATTCGCTTTCGCGTAGGGGTCTTTAGCAGTGGGAGGAAACTGAAGGACCCAAAGAAAAGGCTAGAGGTTGGACAGGCGATCCTACTTCTTGTCCTGCACAACCAGGGAATTTCGAAACCACACCAGTTGACTCAATGACAGACCTTATGATACAACATGCATATGCTAACCATTCGGTCATCCACCTCCCTAAACAAGGAGTAAACACAAGTCTGTTACCATGTGCACTAACACGCACAAGAATAGTAATGTACCTTTATCAAGAATCATATATGTCATGGGCAATAACTCTGGAAATCATTTTGTTATAAGCTCAAACTACCCAAAATTTTATAAAAATCGATGTACAACAATACCCTGTCATAATGGCATTCATCAAAACTTATAAGTTACAGGTAATAATAAAAACACTAAAAACTGATAGGGATCATTGCTTGTCCATTGTAACTCTCCAAACATTTGATGAAAATTGGTTAAGAACTTAACTGTAATGTGAGTACGACTAAGTGTGAAAGGCTGGCATTAAAGGTTTCTGCCATAGACGCTAAACACCAACCAGCGAGCATAGGGATGAAGACAATATTTGACCACATTAACATGTGGGCACATTAAAATGTTGAATTAAGATAAAAAAAAATTATTGTAAATTCAGCCTTACCTAACAGTTTCTATAAATGTTTTTAACAATTCATCCATTGTCAAAACATCTGTGAATTTCATATCTCTTCGATAACCCCATGAAGCATCATCAAGGGTCATAGCATTTTCAAACTTTCTCTTCTGTAGAACACCTGAGATAAGATAATAAATAATCAGGAGAACTGCACAACAAAACACAAAACACATTAAGAACAAACAAAACAGGAATAAAGCAGAGAGTACAATTAGATACACATGAAAGGTTCTAAAAAGAGTAAGCATACATAGCCTTATGCATGAAGCCTGTCACAACTTAGAGTCAATGCAGCAATAGTTTTGACAAGGACTTCAGCTACCAAAGATTGTGGGAAATGACCACCAACAGAAAACAAATTTGTAGTGAGGATCCCTTGAAATGAGAGGTTTATATAATTACATTTTACCTTGAGAAGAAAATTAATACATACCAGGATTATATTTATCCGAGCAAGTTAAATATCCTCCATGATGACACATATCACCATTACCCCATCTATCATTGGTTACCACTGTATCTTTCACAGGACTAAAAATATATAAATAAATTCTATACATATAGTTTTCTCAACTAGGACATCGTATAATCCCTGATGTTGTTACTGTAGTGAAATATTTGCTAGAATATGACATCAGAGTTTAAAAATTGGGTTTTATCATATTCAGATGTAGAGGATTTTTTGTTTGAATAGTACCTTATGATTGATGCGATGTTTTTAAGTTTATATTTGGTAACCCGTTTGATTTTCAAGATACAATGTACATATAACAGAATTGTTGGTTAAAATGATCTCACCTTTCATTATACAACCAGGTTAAAAAGTTTTTGGAATCCCAGTAAGAATCAGGTGCTTCCCAATCTCCATCAGACCACACAACTTCAGGATTGTATTTCTGGACTATCTCATATAATTCAGGCATTGTCTTATCCTGTTGAATAAAAAATAAATAAAGAATAAAGCACTACTGCCCTGAATATTAACAATTCCACTTGTATAGGTTTTAAGGTGTTTGATTTGTAATGAATCTTAAAAAACCTTCAATCCATTATGAACTCCTGATGCAACTAACTATATAGTCAAATTATAGCAAATCACAGAAAAAAATATATTTTTTTTATGATCAAATAAAAAAACCGAAATTGTCAATGACTCTTTACTGTAAAGAATTGGATTGACACACATGACTTACTTTAACAAAGTTATTAGTCGTCCAGTTATTAGCCTTATCTTGTAGATATAATGGATGAAACCATTCGAACAGTGAGTGATATAAACCAAAATGAAGGTCTGTATTCTGTTGAATTGCTGTGGCTAATTCACCTAAAACACAGAATTATTTAGAATATAGAATAAACATGGTATACAGCTGGAAGAAGACCAACCATTGGCAAAGGCAAAATATAATTATAACATACGAAAATGTTCTGTGAAATACTACTGCTAGAAGGAGAGATAATTCTTAATTCAAGAAAGGAAAACTGGAGGACATATTTTTTCACTGTTAGAAGGTTAATTATCATACTGCAATCTTATGTAAAGAAATGAAACAGGGTTTAACGTCTAATTTTTCTGTACCAGTGAAGATGGGCATTGGCCATACAGTCTTCTACCGAGGAAAATTTTGCCCTGACTACAGCCTACTTTTAAATACATTAATATCATAATGATTTTAGTCAATTAAGCACTTCTGCCTTTTTCACTCAATAGAAGTAAATCATATCCTGGGGGTAATCATATCTCACCACACCAGTATTCACAGCAACTTGCCACTAATTTCATCTGGTTTTCAAAAATTAGAGAGCAACAGCCATTTAATAGTGAACAGCCCTACATGTACTTACCAACAAGATCTCTATGAGGTCCATTATCCATGGAATTCCAATTAAAAGAATATTTGGACGGCCAGTTGGTGAAACCTTCATGATGTTTACTGGTTAAGACAACATATCTGAAAAAACATCAAATGTCAATATCAACAGTACATTTATTAATGTCCCAGAATATTCCATAGAGTGATCATATGTGAATTGGACATTTTAATAAATATTTCCATTTTATACATAAATAATTAAAGTCTCTATATAGGCCATTTACATTTTTCTGAAATCAAATTTTTCACATCTTAAATTAATCAATGCTACTTCAGTTGGATTAAAAAGAGGTCATCAATAGATTTTAGATAAGATTATATCATGTGCTGGCTTCTGACCATATCCATTTTCTTTTTATTAAGGAAGCTGAATGATTCTTCATATTTTTGTAAATACTTCAAAAGGAATTTAACCATATTTTGAATGATTTTCCGGTTCAAGATTAAACTTTCACACTATTGTACTTTACAAGAAATTCCTCAACAAATGGTGTTCAGAGACATTAAAGATCATTATAATTATTATAACTAAAATATATTTAGTATGTATACCTTGCCCCTGAAGCATTAAAAATACTGGCCCATTGGCTTGGTGAATAAAATTCAGTTGTATATTGTTTAGCGAAATCTGCATAGGTAAAACCTGGAGGGTAGTTAGCCTTCATAAAATTTATACAATCCGTGTCGTTTGCTCCTTGCCACTCATACCAAAACCACTCTGACAGAAAACTCGGTACAGCAAAAACTCCCCAATGAATGAAGATTCCTAATTTTGCCTCGTCATACCAAGATGGTAGTGGACGGGAGTCTAGAGATTCCCAAGTTGGTTCATATGCTGCATTAGTTGCTATTATATTTATAAATAAAAGTATACAAAGCGAGAGTTTGTTTACAACAGGCGTCTTCGTGGCCACCATTTTGAAAGCATGTGATCTTTATATGTCACGTGATCCTGAAATTAGGCGGATCTATTCTTTTGGGCACATTGCACTCCCCGGTGATCAATTTTTGGAGCAAATCTTGTGAAATTACATGTTTCACATCACATCAATATTATTTTCCTCTATCTGATGATATTTTAAAAACCCTAATGGGTTATTTTGGTAGGGTATTCTGTAGATTGTAGTTATTTCCCTTGCACTAGGATATGGTTTGATGTCTCAGATTTCCTTTAAAAATGATATAGATGACTAACTATAAATAAAGGAGTCATTAAACACCAAAATCAGAGGTTTTGAATTTTCCATGGCAATCTCTAAATTAGTGATACGAATATTTAGCTATGTCTTCAGACGTACTGCATACACTGACGACCCACCCCACCCACGAAAATGTTAATTAAATCTACTTATAGTTTATTATCCTACCACAATTTCTTTCATCAACCTATTTCTAGAAATAATGGCGTCACCAGTCGAGATTATCATCTATATTTGGTAAATTAATATCTCTTGTAATAAATACGCCATGGAATTGATTTCAATGGATAGACTATTCATGAATGCAGGGGAACAGTTATTATTGTGATGAAAGAGAACCCGCTTCGTTCTATCACGATTATTGATCACCGTATCTAATCAATGACAACATCCTCTCTCATATTTACTCTTACATGCGGATACAGAGTTAGGGAAGTGGGATGTGGGGTTAAAGTAGCTAAGTCTCTAACTCAATATCATCCAAAGTCTTCGACATTGGAAACAAAAATTATTTGTCAATTTAAATCAACATTGACGTTGTGATCTAACAGGGAAAAGATATGCTTCTGGTGTCTGGTATCCAATATTTAAGACAAAATAAACATTTTACCATCGGTACACGAATCGTGTACCATAATGCGTTTCAGTGCCAATTGTAACAAGGGACTCGAAGAACGAGGGTAGACATATTATTTCACAAGTCATGGCGATTTTACGTCATTATGGTGTAAGGATGATAAATTTAAACATTTGGGGTTTTTTAAATCGGATAAAAATTATGACCTCAACCTTGGCATCAAAATCAGATAAAAAATGTGACCTTTACAGAGTGGACAGAGAACACGCTAAATAAAGGGCGATTTTACGTACAATCAGGGGCTATAATCCAAGAAGTTACGATCCGATACGGGCAAGGTTCGAAGGGAACCCTGAACTTTGGGTTATAAACATACATTTGTTTTTAAATTTATTGAAATCGGATATAAATTGTGACCTCTAGAGTGTCCACAACCTATTAAATTATGTAGGGGGAGCGGCCTTTTTGTCAGGCAGTTTCTGTCAGATCTTCATGAAATTCGAACTCAACCGTCATTATGGTGTAAGGATGATAAATTTAAACATTTGGGTTTTTTTTAAATCGTATAAAAATTATGACCTCAACCTTGGCATTACATACTTTTTTACTTTTTATATGCGTACAGGAGCGACCAGGATGTTACGGTCCTATATGCGTGAATATCGAAAGGAACCGACATCTTAGGGATATACACATACATTTTAAGTTTCATCAAAATTAGATAAAACTTGTGATCTCTAAAGGGTCCAAAACCTTGGTATTACATACCTTTACATTATTTGCATACGGGGAGCGGCTATTTTGTCGGGCAGTTTCGGGTCGATATTCACGCAATGAGAACTCATTGGTCATTATGATGTAACGGTGATATATTTGAACAGATTTTTAAATCCGATCAAAATTGTGACGTCTAGATTTTTATACAATCTGGGGCCAAATAATTCAGGAAGTTGCGGTCCGATATTCGCGAACATCGAGAGGGACCAAGATGTTTGGGTTATAAATACATTTCAAGTTGTGATTAAAGTTTGGTTTTTTTTATAAGCAATATTTTATTCAGATTTGTATCTGAATAGGGATTGGGGAACAGGCATAGCCTATATCAAACCCCTCTCCCTGAAAGTTGTGAGCGGTATAAAATTAACATTATGCTGAAGTCCTAAAATATATGACCTATGGTTCTGGTAAAAAGGCATAGTTTATTAACTATTTACACAGAAAGGTGACAAATAGAAAAAGTACAAATAAACATTTAAAAACATCAGACAAATTTAATCCAATCAGTAACTTATGGTATTTAAGTAGGCTATTAATTACAGGTATCAACAATAAATGTAATAAAAATACTAAAAAATATTTATGTACTTTGCATAAATATTTCAATCTTCGGATAATTAGGTACCATAATATTGAACATTTAAGAAATTAAAAGGATGCAAATTCCAAGACATGCACAATTTTAGAGTTGTTCGATGGATAGGCACATAAAACAATACTTAAATATCCTAAAATATACCATAAATAAAATTTTTAAACTTTCAAGATGTTTTAACTACATGTATGGTAATAAATATCTTAAAAAAATATAACAAAATTAAGTATGGTATTTCAAAGATAAAAACACTCCACATCAACACCTATAAATTAGCATTGTTATCTTATGATGTTAAATTATTTGTGTATCACATAATTTCTGAAACACTCTTGCATCAAAACAAAAAGGGAAATAACAGTGTTACAGATAAGCCATTTATACAAATATAAAGATATAAAAATCAATATTTTTAAAAATATATATTACAAATCACAGTAAAAACCCTGATTATCACACAACATTATCCCACATAACATCTTAACGCTAAATTTACATAAAATTTATGTAAAAATGGTCAGTCAGTTTACCATCATTTTGCTCATCTTTTTAACCACAAGTCTTTTTTATGTTATATTTACCTCATTTTCTGACGTAACTCTAACGTAAAGTTAACCTCATTTTCTGACATAGTATAGCAATTTATGGTACATGTATCATAATATGATAGCTTGGTTCAATATGTACTGCTCTCTGATTTATGAAAAAACAATTGGGTCAGAAACACGATTTCAGTGACCCCAAAAATAGTCCTTCTAGTTAGAAAATTTAGATATCTCCATTTAAATGCAATCCATGTAAGGAGAATCATCTATTTTTACAAGACTATGAAAATAATTGTTTAGTGACACAGTCAGAATCAATGGTTTGCATAAAGTCTAATTTTCAAGTGGTCTAAATAAACAAATAATAAGACATCAAGAGATCGCAAAATAATATGGATATGTTAAACAAATAATAAGACATCAAGAGATCGCAAAATAATATGGATATGTTAAACAAATAATAAGACATCAAGAGATCGCAAAATAATATGGATATGTTAACTTAAAACATCAAATCTTTTTACATATAAACAAATCAGACTTTTGGCCAGAGACATCACATAATAATTAACTGAAGTTTATAGGAGATGAAGATTTACAATTTTTACCTATAAATTATAATCTAAAAAAATGAACAAAATATTAACATTTCTGGCATCTAACCCCAGTTTCATCGTGGACTGATACATATACTGTATTTGTTTCTGATTGTAAATACCAAACTTAAAATCTAAAATTATTGAATACCTTTATAACCGCACAACACACTACACTGTGTATTTCATATTATTTAATTTCAGTCATGCAACGATTATGATGGTCTCAACCAGTAACAAATTGAGTATTCGTCTCTCATTTAATTACCCAGATTAGTGAATTTAAACACCTTGGCATATTTCGATGGCTGAGTATTAACAGTTAGGGACGGTAGAATGATTTCAATACCATGTGTGGTTCCAGCTCTCCATTCTATACTGCCTGTATATCCTAATAGAGAAACAACTGTATATTCTGACACGCTGGGTGCTCCAAGTTGTAAGGTTTCACCTGATGGCCAATTCAGTACTGTGGCGTAGACATACTGCTGTCCCTTTGCACTTGTGTACCTAAAATGGAATATTAGAAAGATTAAAAAACAGTTTCCATCTCACCGCACATGGTCATGGCAAACTAAACAATAACAAAGAAGACATCCAAAACCTGATGCCAAAATTAGTTTAAGTTTCACACAATATATTTTTTTACCGTTCAACAAGGTAGGCAACCATTCTCAATTTGAACCAGGGTGGCATTTAAAAGGAGGAGACTTGTTAGACAGGAACCCATACCAAATTTAATTCAATAACAAATTTCAAAATATTGCTTCAAGGGGAGGACATTTTTCACTTTGGAATCAAGCAAAACATTTACATTTGTTTTCAAAACACAAGTGATGCTTATTTTACAAGTATTACAGTTAATAGAAATGCTGACAGAAGAGCGATATTATTACAGTTCATAGGAAAGCTAAATGGTAACTGATATTATTACAGTTCATAGAAAGACTGTCATGTGGGCAATATTATTACAGTTCATAGAAAAAAATGACAGGAGGGTGATATTACTACAGTTTATAGAAAAGCTAACAGGAGGGCGATATTATGAGTTCATAGAAAAATTTGTTGTGTTGTTCTTACTGTTTAACGTTCACTTCCACCGAATGTGATATCGCAGACAATTCTTATTTCTCATTTTTTATTACCTTAGACTTTTAGAGTATGTAAAGGGGTCTTGCTTGTGGAAGGAAACCGGAGTACCCGGAGTAAACTCACAAGGTTGAGAAGACGCCCCTATCTCCAAGTCACATATGCTCACACCAGGGATCGAAACAACAACTGCAAGCCAGAGGTGACCGGCCAGCTAGAGGTTGAAGCGCAACACCCTAGACCACAAGGCCATCCCAATCCCCCCATAGAAAAGCTAATAGGTGGGTGTTTATCACAGTTCAGTGAAAAACTGACAGGTGGGTGATATTCATTGATGGGCGATATTACAGTTCATAGAAAAGCTGTCAGGAGGGTGATATTAATTTAGTTCATAGAAAAACTGACATGTTGGTGATATTATTATATTTCTTGGAAAAGCTTACAGTCGGTGATATTGTTACAGTTCTTGGAAAAACTGACAAGTGAGTGTGTTCTTACAGTTCATAGGAGAACTGACAGGTAAGCAATTATCATTAATCCAGGTATGGGATATTAGATATGGTGTAT